AATCTAATCCATTTTCGTGTAAATGATGGATTAAAAAACTACTGATGTAAGCTTTATAAAGCGATCCATGATCAACTCCAATTGCTCTGACCTTGGACATGAATAACGGATTGTCTAGACGACCATCGCGTAAGGTGCTGTTGAGACATACGTATTCACATTGGTATCATAGTTGTATTATTGTTTTTACCACTTGAGTATATCCTACAAGCTTTAAATGTTAAAACGGTCTATTATTCTTCTATGTGCTGCAGACACCATCTTTTCACCTCTGTCTTGAACCAGAGCAGTGTGTCTGATTGGTCGCTGGCCGGCTCTGTTGTGATCACTCTTTAACATTGAGCATAGCAAGGAACATACAATATATTTATTGTATCTTCTGGCAGGCACACTATTTTACCACCCAATTGTAGTTGGTAGGTGGGTGGGGGACAACGTGGTCCAACTGAGGATGTCACTAGAGTTATTTTGTATAAAAAATAAAATAAATAAACAATCTCTTTAACCTTAAGTCTATCTAATCTGTAAACTGGAATTAACACAAACGTATTTGTTTATATACTGTAATTTAAACATTTGCTTCATTTGGTAAAAATTTTAAATGGTTATGGGTTTTAAGCTTTCAAATATTTGATGACATTATTCTTACCAGGAAGGTTTAGGCTATACTGTACGTACAAATATTGGTTTGACCCTTAGATGCATACGTGGCTTGATGGTAACGTGGAATTTTCAGAACGGTTTTTGATACTGTCTAAAAACGTTTCTTCTTGCCTGCCTTGGGCTCGCTGACGGTTTCTTGGTGGGAGTTAGGGTTTTTTTAGGCGAGACGTGGTTGGACATGCATACGACGAAAGGCTGGTCCGTTGGATGTTGTATATTTGAGGTGGCTCCATTTAAGCCAAAAAAATGTGAGCATGAGATGGGTCTTTTTTGCCCCGGTGGGTGGTTTCTTTACAGTATCTATGTATTACATTTTTTTTTATCATTTCATATTCCAGCTAATCTCCAAAAACATTTTTTGGTTTTGGATATCATGAAATTCACTTTTAATTTAATGTTATAAATTTTAAGAAATTGTAGTTTTTTGTATTACTACTCCACCTTCCATAAGTCGGCTCAAAAATGAGAACCCGCATGCATTTTCTATGGAATTTCGTTTTTTTTTTGAAATGTAAAAAAAAAATGTTTTAAAATATTTGAATGAAATAATAACAAAATATTATTCCAAGTGATTTTTTTAAACAAAATTACAAAAATGGCATAAAAACACATTATTCTAATACGGGTCCTTTTTGACCCACTTGGTCCAGTCACTCTAAGGGCATCTAAGGTAAAGGAAAATGCATAACAAATCATTTGGAATAAGTTTTTAAAACAGTAAAGTTTAAAACTGTTGCACTTGGATCTGGGCATAAGAGACAGATCATAATGATATGTAAGCCGCTGGGCTTATCCTAAAGTTTATGAGGCCTCATGATAAAAAGAAACATATGTTACGAATGAGTATTGATGTGTACTGAGGTAGAACGCAATATAATTAATGCTGCAAACAAATAAATGGAGTCAATGGGAAATAGGCCAGCAGCTTTCCATCATCTGTAAAACAATCGTCAGCATCAAAGCAATGACTTCGAGGCAGACCCCAGAGCCTGGTGTGTAACATCTGCAAATGTGACAGGACAGCAAACCTTGTGGAATGGTGAAGTTTTAATTCTAGTCGCATCTAAGCAGAGAGAGGGAGAGAGAGAGAGAGAGAGAGAGAGAAAGATGAGAACAGTGGCCACTGACAGAAGAGCTCCGTGAAATTCACACAAAAAAATAATTTGTTTTTACATCTTTATAATTTATAGATCTCCATTGAGATGTATTAAGTAGAATTTAACAAGCGATGTAATACAGGAATGTCATTTCCTAAATATATTCAAAATAGTTCCTCTAAAAGTCTTTGAGGAATACTTAGTAAACAAAAAAGCTACTATTCTTACACAAACCATAAAAGAAAAGAGGTCTCGTATCTTTGGAGGGTAGCAGATCAAAGTAGAGGGTTGCTTTTTTCTTTGTCTTCTTTACAGTTTGAAGTCCTGAACTAACACATGAAAGAGGGAAAGAGAGAAGCAGAGCTGGTGATTCAGTAATTCTCACCTGCCATTGGAGGAAGAGCAAGGAAGTCCCGCCATACCGAACCAAGCCCCTGACCCCTGACCTAACGACCCCATTGGGCAAAAAAAACTCGCCTGATAACGACCCGTGAGCCAAAATGAGGAAGTTGCTTGGGGCCCCCCTTCTCCTCCACAACAGCAGCAAAATCTTCATCGTGTTAAACATACAAATCATTTTTTTCTCTCAAAATATGTATATACTCACACTGGTTAACAACGCATAGTGATCATATAACATCATAACAAAATAACAAACAAAAGAAAAGAAACAGAAAACATTAAAATTGTTACATCGGGGTTGCCATGCCATCACTCATTATTTATCATTAAATGTTAAATTAAAATACATTTTTGTCATTAAAAAGAGCCAGGGTTGTCATCACACAGGGTGGTGTCCTGAGTGTGGATGTGTGTTGTGGTGTGTGTGTGTGTGTGTGTGTTGTGTGTTGTGTGTGTGTGTGTGTGTGTGTGTGTGTGTGTGTGTGGTGTGTGTGTGTGTGTGTGTGGTGGTGTGTGTGTGTGTGTGTGTGCTGTTGTGTGTGTGTGTGTTGTGTGTGTGGTGTGTGTGTGTGGTGTGTGTGTTGTGTGTGTGTGTGGTGTTGGTGTGGTGGTGTGTGTGTGGGTGTGTGTGTGTGTGTGTGTTGGTTGTGTGTGTGTGTGTGTTGTGTGTGTGAGTGTGTGTGTGTGTGGTGTGTGTGTTTTTGAACATAAACAGCATCAGTTTAACATGCAGGTTCTGTAAAAGTAGAAACAAATAAGAACAAATCATCATGATTCATAAAACGCAGGGTGGCCGTTTGATATTTTTCCATGTGCCATACTGTGCAGTATTTGTTCACTTCAGCTCACTCAAGCAGCATGTGGGAGATACATATGGATATAATAATAATAATAATAATAATACCCATGAATGCAGATAAGAATGCAAAGAAAAGAAGAATGGTTGCTCCGTCAGTCCAACATTAGGGAAGCTGATTGGGAGGCAAGGAGAGGTTCACTGTAATTCCAAGAGTACAAAAAAGGGCGATTTGTAACCGTGGCCTGTTAAAGATGGAGCTTCAATTGTAAACACAGTGCTAATGCATCGACTGCCATTCAAAACCATGGAGAAAGAAAGACAGATTCCTTTTTTTGAGTGTTTCCCAGTATATAAGGGTATAGCTTTTTCAGAATTCGCTGCTCCATTCTGTTAAGGTGCCGCGTCAGGAGTAGGGACACACACCCCACGTTGACCGAGCAAGCCATAACCCCCCCCCCCCGCCCCTCCCTCCTTTCTTCTCTCATTTACTTGGGTTGCTGGTTCGGGCAAAATAGCGAACTGGAAGACCCTAGGATTGGAAACATCAAAGGAGAAAAGTTTGATGCCGCCCGGAGTAATCACCTTGCTTTGTTTTCGTTTTTTTTTCTTCTTATAAATTGTTTTTCTACAAAAATTCTGCATCCTGTTTCTGTTCGTTACGGTTGAAGCTCACCCCAAAACCGCACAGAATCATCCTGAGGTATTTTATTTGATACAATTTGGCTTTGTGAACCCCAATCGATCCAGCAAATCAGTTTTAAGATGGTTAACATGTTTCTTTTTTGTATTTTCTGCCTGTACGATTGTACAGTTTGGTAATGCTATAAAAAGTGTCGATGGGCACTGCGCGCGTGTACTGGGAATGTGCATGTGCAAGTTTTTCTGCCTTAAGTTATCACAAAAAAAACAAAGAACTAACAAACATGCTTACATCAGGTTAAGACCATGTTCCTGGTTAAGACTTCCTTCCGTTTTGCCATGCACCCACCTTACTCACACTATGGAACTGATGGATGAGCTCTACAGTGGACTTACTCGGTCCATCCCCTCACCATCTTGGCCCCCAACCCATCCCACATTGAACACCAACGCTGTAAAGGTAAACCAAGGATCCATCACAGTAGTCTTCAGATCCTCAAGAACCCTGGTTGACTGCGGATCAAAAGCTAAGCTGATGATCAATAACCCCAGTTAGACTGTGGTGGTTGGATACCGTATAGCTCTGCTATTGCTGTATCAACCGACCAACTGTTCTTAAAAAAAGAAGAAAGTGTTCCTTCTATAGTTATCCAACACTCTAGTGATGTGTCACCAGGCAAGGAAGAAGGGAAAGGAGGAAAGAAGCGAAGGAATCGTCAGTCCTTTTTTTTATACAAAATACCTGTTTCTCAGTTGCAGGGAGGTCGAAAGACAAAAACACATCAGCGGCACATCAGCGCCCACCCCCCCCCCCAACTCAGACAAGGTGGTGGTGGTGGACACGGTTGTCATTTCATCCTTTCCTCCCTTGTTTTCTACCCTCTTTGCTCTCTTCCCTTCCACCATTTCCATTGCTCTTTTGCAACAGGATGACACTGATTTACTAAGCACAAAGGTCAAGGATAAAAGGTTTTCGATTGTACAAGTATCCCTCCACCGTATTTGGCAAGACACAGTCCCTTTTTCCAAAAACATGTAAAATATGTGTCTGAGAGTGTATTTGTGTGTATTTTGTCTTCTCTGACACAGATATAAATCAACACATGCAAAATAATCTACTACTCTTGATGGTATTTTTCAGAAAGCTATGCTTTTTCAAAAGCATACGTGGGAGAGAGGTTTTAAAACTAATGGCTATTGTGCTACCAAATAAGCAAACACTAAAATCCTACATAGGGGGATCCGGATGCCAGAATCCCTAATAAATCTTATAGTTTAATAGAATAAAAAAGCAATACTTTGCAATTATTTTTCTATGTGCAGAGCCATAAATGAAATGCCCATCAGATGCCTCAGGTTTCCCCGCTTGTGTGTCCCTTTCTATCAGTGATTTTCTCTTTTTATCCGTCAGTCTGTAAACATTATGCATTGATAGCACCTACATTTCTCCCAGCGTCTCATAACTATCATGTCCCTTTAGCATTAGCCTAACATTTAAACCAAAATTCTGAGCGAGAACACCGACAACCCTCTGCCAACGACTACCGGAGGCTCCGCTCTGCGCCATTTAGCTCATCTCCATTCTCCCTTTCTCTCCTCTTGCACTGCCAGGTGTCTCGGTAGCCATATTTGTCAGAGTAACAAGCAGCAGACCGTTGGACTAGCTTACTGTGACGCCTCGGCCCTCCTGGGACGCCTCCATGTCTGGCCGTGACATCAAACGTGCCCATCTGGTCCCTCTGTCAGGCCTCTTCTCCTCAACTAGAGAGCTGCAAGCTTGACAGTGGAGGTGGAAAGGAAACAGGGGGGGGGGGGGGGAGTGGTTGAAAGAGAGGTTATCTCCTCTCTCTCGCCCTCTAATTCCCCTCGCATTCCCCCATGCTCCTTACCACTAACTTACAAACTTCTATCACAAATCAAATACCTCTTTCCCAACAAGGCCTGTAGGAGTCCTTCTATGTCCCGTTAATGGGACTAAGCCATTTCCTTAGCCGTTAAAAAACCTACAGGGTAATGATTCCACTCACATTTACACCAGGATACCTTGTGGCAGCGTGCTGACCATGCAGCCAACTCATTGGTACATGGCAGAGAATGGACAAAAAAGGTGATATCATCTGCAAAGAGAGTAGTAGTAGTAGAAGTACCGCCATACCCAAGTGGGCACAAGTTCTTTTGGATTACAATGTTGAAGAGAAGAAGAAAAACGTAGTGTGGCTATGGCATCCCTTTGTGGATAACATAGTTGATAAATTATAATACAAACCCAGAGAGCAGTAAGGAGGAGAGAACACATTATTTCTTAAGTCAACTAAACATCTGACTCCAGACTGGGGATTTTTTTATACACCCGCCTATTGCTGAACTGGGCTGAGTTTAGGACACCACGTGGGGCCGGGTATGCACTAGTCTTAGAGGCTGAGTAAGGCATCACATGCTCTTTATTGTACATGTCATTGGCTATCCGCCCGTCCCGTGAGCAGTATGAAGTGGTAGATTTAACAGAGGAGCGGAGATTGTTCGCATCGTTGCGTGTTTTGATGGGGGGCGCTCCGAGGACCGCTGCAGGTGAGGCCACTGCCAGCTGTTTGTAAATATCTGAGGAGCTACGCCCGTGGACCAGTCTGCTGCTGGTGTCGTCCCTCAGCGAGTGGCTGAGGAAAGGGTTGTCCGAGCCATGGGCCGGGTACAGGGACTGGCTCCTCTTGCTCTCCTCGAGGTTGTGGTTAAACATCATCGATTTGGACCCGGTGCCAAACAATCTGCCGGAGTAGGGACGCATGCCGAAGAGGTTGGCGTAGTGCGAGTCAGATGCAGACTCCAGGAAGCGATCCTTCTCCTTCAGGCTGACGCTGCGCGCCGGTCGACCCAGGTCCACATCCTTGGGCTTTTCTAGCATGATGTTGTCGAAGGAGTGCTGACGACTCAGCCTCAAGCGGTTTCTCTTTTGAACGTGTGGCCCATCCGTCTGCGGCCAATACAGACCAAACATTTCGTCTGGTTCCTGCTGCTGTTGGTGGTGCATGGTGGGACTGACCAAGGGGTCCGCAAGGAGCTGGTCCTCGCTAATGTCATACAGGTTTGCTGTGTGGAGGCATGCTTCACACCGATTGTATGGTGAGCGTGTGGCAGAAGTTGCAGCAGGAATAGCAGGGGTGTATGACCCTGTTGGGGGGTAGCTAGAGGACACTTTGGACAAGCAAGACCGGCAGTGTGTCTGTTTGTAGCGCTCAATGGATTCATGTGGGGACATGTTTTTCTCTTTCAGGTTGTAGTGTTTAGAGTAAGTTGGATCTGGGAGAAGATCTGAGTCGCCGTGATGCAAAGGGGAGGAGTTTAGATGAATGATGGGCTGCTCACACTTCCTATAGTTGTCGCTGTGGTCGGAGTAAATCTCGGGGTAATCCAAATCGTCGGCAGCGAGGCCGCGGCTCTCACGGTAGTGCATGGGGTCTGTATGCAGGCTCATCTCTCGCTCTGAGTCGATGGTATAAACTTTCTCTCCTCCTACTACTCTGCCGGGTTGGTTGGGTCCAGCGGTGACTGGCTTAGTTTTTAAGTAGGACAGCTCTACCTCACTGCAGTCCCTTGGGTATTTCGATGGCACCGATCTTTTTTTTAAGTTGTCCTTGGGCTTCAGGTGCTTGTTGTTTTCTGGGTCCTTGTACGAGGCCGCCCTGCTGGAACAGTCGGAGATGTCAGAGTGGGCTGCTTCCTCAGGGAGGTAGCGCTGTGTCTTCATTGACATTCGTGGGTCTGGCATGAGCATGTCGGGCATCGGAGGGGGTCCAGGTGGCGCCGAACGAAGCGTGTCCACCGATTTCTTCCACAGCGTTCGGGGAGGCTTGGCGTTGGTCTGGACTGAGTCGGCGTTGACCGCCACCTCTACTGAGTTGGGGTTGGCATCATTCAGGGTCAAAGGATGCTGGCCTCCCTGGAAGATGTAGTTGTTAAGGTGGTCTTTGTGCCGGTTAGCAAGGTAAGACTGCAGGTCACCGGTGTCCCCGTAGATCATATCTTTGGGAGCATAGCTACGGTTGTCGGCGTAGATGAAGTTGCCCTTCTCCGCCATCATGTCCATGATCATCGGGCCGGCTGAGTGCATGAACTCACGTTTGGGTGAGTTCATGTGGGAGCCGGCCAGGTTAGACATGTTGGTCATCTGTTTGGCTGATTTTATTAGCTTTAGCATTTTGTCCTGGGGGCTAAAGTCCAAATCGGACTTTTTCTTCATGTCAATGTGGACGCCATGGATGCAACTCCAGATTCCCTGCATGACGACACATGGTTGAACAAGTGGAATGGATGAGGGGGGGGGGGACCAAATAAGGGATACATGGAAGAAAGGTTTGATGGTTTGATAGACATGGAAGGAAACAAACAGAATAATGATTAGATTTGTACCAAACATACTTGTGGTCTATATGTTGTTTTGAATTGGTGACTCAGTTAATCATAGTATATTGAACCATGCAAACATCGGAAAGAGAATTAAATGAGTCTTTCGTTCATTCTGTCTGAAACACGCTGTGCCGTTCCGTTTATAAAGACATCAAACTGTGCCTAGCAATAAAGATGGAAATCTGTTTTGTTGACGATAGGAAATCTTTTAAACAACCGTGAATGATTGATATAAGAGGATGATGCGTTAAAAACAACAACAACATCATTCGGGGTTTTCTTAGAAAGGCTTTCCAATTATCATTAACACACCAATGAAACAAAACACACACACAATGTTTTTAAATACAGGACCACACTTTTTAAAAGAATATATACTGATAGAGAACATATGATACAAAAAGACAAGTCTAGCTGCAGCTACTGTTTGAGAAAAAGTAACTTTTCAACCTGAGCCTTTTTTGACAGGAAACAACAATAAGGAGGAAATTGCGGTTACTCTGATTGGGAGGGAGGTTTTTAAAACCAGTCTTTGTCTATGGACTAACAGCCAATCAAGCAAACAGTAATGTCACACTCTTTTTTACGGCTCATCGTAAAAAAGAATGAAACTTTGTGATTTTGAGGCTATTTCAGTGAAACAAGGCTGTTTTGAACATTTAACAGATTTATGCTTAATTCTCTCAAAAAGTTACTGAAAGATACATTCTCCCAGTTCAGAAATACATCCTTAAAATGCGTTTATAACGTTAACGAATTGAAAGTGCTTTGTGGTTCAGCACACATTGTGTGTCACATATCACCACAAGA